TCACGGTCCACCATGTTGACTGCTGACCCACTCCCAACTAGTTTAATTTAAGAAAAGAGCAGTGCTAGGGGCACTCGCCTCCCGCACTCTCTAGCCAACACTTCCACTTTCAATGGGCCACGTCATTTTGGCGTGAAGAGGTTGCATGTCAAAGCCTTTTAAGCAAGTTTACGTGGCCCAATAAAAAGGCATGTGTTGGCTGGAGAGTACAAGAGGCGAATGCCCCTAGCATTGCTCGAAAAGGAGATTTTTTAACAATAAAAAATATATTATTTTTCATGTAGGCACCATGTAAGTCAAGTTGACCACCCTGGTGCCATGTCAACATAAATAGTGCCACATTAACAAAAAACATAATAGAATTGATGAAGGCGGGTGTGACTTAACGGAAGTGATGTACATATGGAAATTAAATTAAAGATGAGTGACTAGATATACAAATTTCAAAGGAGAGTGATTAAATTGAAAATTGTGATAAAGGTGAGTGACTATTCATGTAGTTTACCCTTATTCGTATGTACCAATAAGATGAAGGGTGCCATTTGATACCTATATAACAAAATGCTAGCTGCAGTAAATTTAAATTGATAAAACATAAATGACTGAAAATTACAAATGATTGATCAATTTTAGTAAAGATACTAGACATACAAATATAGAGAATGTTGTTTTTTAATTTCATATGTATATATTACACTTTTTTAAACTATTGATGAAGGGGATGATCCTCATTAAAGACCCACTAAAGTGGACTCACCCTCCATCAATACTTCACTTTTTTGGTAAACATACACTTGAAAAAGAGAATAATACAAGAATTAATATAAAAACTTTCGAGTATCCAAGTACTTACTAAGCATCCTTGTTAATGCATGTTGCAGACAGTCAATATCCAATATATGATCTCTGAAACTATGGTATTTATCATCATTGACCACCATTGCATAGCTTTAAATTCAATTGCAGTGGACAATTGTAATGGGCCTTTGGGAAAGGATGTACGTAACCGAACCCACCAAAGTACATAACAAGTTACCACAATCAACCAATCTCTGTAGTACAAG